CGCTGGAAACCATCGTAAACCAGTGAAAAGCAAGGAAGGCAAAGTAATCAGCAACACTGAAGAACAGCGAAATAGGTAGGTAGAGCACTTTAAGGAACTATTGAATCGACCAGCTCCACTGAACCCACCCAACATCGAAGCAGCATCCACGGACCACCCAATTGATGTTGGGGCACCTACAATTGAAGAGATCAGTATAGCCATCAGACAAATCAAGAGCGGCAAAGCAGCAGGACCAGACAACATTCCAGCAGAGGCAATGAAAGCAGATGTAGAAGCAACTGCGAAAATATTTCACGTCCTCTTCAAGAAGATTTGGAATGAGGAACAAGTACCATCAGATTGGAAAGAAGGATACCTGATCAAAATAACAAAGAAAGGCGACCTGAGCAAGTGTGAGAACTACAGAGGCATCACTCTTCTTTCAGTACCAGGCAAAGTCTTCAACAGAGTATTGTTAAACAGAATGAAGGACTTCGTAGACGCCCAACTTCGAGATCAACAGGCCGGATTTCGTAAGGATCGATCGTGTACTGACCAAATCGCTACATTACGGATCATTGTGGAACAATCAATTGAATGGAACTCACCACTCTACATCAACTTCATCGACTACGAGAAAGCATTCGATAGCTTGGATAGGAAAACACTGTGGAGGCTTTTTCGACACTACGGTGTGCCTGAGAAAATAGTTAACATCATACGGAATTCTTATGATGGATTCAACTGCAAAATCGTGCACGGAGGTCAGCTGACAGACTCTTTCGAGGTGAAGACCGGTGTCAGGCAAGGTTGCTTACTCTCACCCTTTCTCTTTCTCCTGGTCATCGACTGGATTATGAAGACGTCAACATCTGGAGGGAAGCACGGTATCAACTGGACAGTTAGGACGCAGCTGGACGATCTGGACTTCGCAGATGACCTGGCTCTTCTATCGCACACTCAACAACAAATGCAAGAGAAGACGACCAGTGTAGCAGCAGCCTCTGCAGCAGTAGGTCTCAACATACATAAAGGAAAAAGCAAAATTCTCCGATGCAACACAACATGCACCAACCAAATCACTCTTGGTGGAGATGCTTTCGAGGACGTTAACACCTTTACATATCTGGGCAGCATCATCGACGAGAAAGGTGGATCCGATGCAGATGTGAGGGCGCCGATCGGCAAAGCAAGTTCTGAATTTCTACAGTTGAAAAATATCTGGAACTCCAAACAATTTTCAAACAAAACCAAAATCAGGATTTTCAATACAAATGTGAAGACAGTTCTACTGTATGGAGCGGAAACTTGGCGAACTACGAAAGCCATCATCCAGAAGATACAAGTGTTTATGAACAGTTGTCTACGCAAAATACTTCGTATTCGTTGACCAGACACCATCAGCTACAACGTACTGTGTGAGAGAACAAACCGAATTCCAGTGGAGTAGTTAATCAGGAAGAAGCGGTGGACGTGGATAGGTCACACACTGAGAAAAGCACCGAACTGCGTCACAAGACAAACTCTCACTCGGAACCCTAAAAAAATAAAGGAAAAGAGGAAGGTCAAGGAACACATTACGCCGAGAAATAGAGAAAGACAAGAGAAAGATGGACAAAAATTGGAAGGAACTTTAAAGGAAGCGGAGGACAGAGTTGGTTTGAGAAAACTGGCGGGCGGCCCATACTCCACTGGATGTAAAAGGCGAGTATAACCTTCTAATACACAGTCAAAAGATCAATAGAATATTCTGCACAAGGGATAAGGACAAACAATTCCACATTTAACAGTAACGTAACGAATTGTACCACGAACTTCAATATGTAAGGAATTCCAACATACAACCACAGAGATCTTTCCATAAGGCGCTAATAATAACTCATTTTATCCTGAGTCCGCGGTTGTTGATGAGGGCCTTAGGAATATACATTTGAGCTGGAGATACAACAGTGAATCTTGTGAAATGTTTCAGTAACTGTATACCGTTTTAAAAGAAATATGTTGCTAATCTTAACATTTTGATCTTGCCTGTAAATTGGCATGTCTCTTGTAACATGTTTGTTATTCGAGAATAAATTATTATTATTATTATTATCATTAATATATTCAGGAGATATATGAAGGGGTTACAGGTAGTCATCATGACATTGCAACCTAACATCAACACACGGTATTGCCCTGATTCAGTTCAATCACAATATCAGTAGACTTTCAAAGGCCAGTTTTAACAGACTCAGCTACCCAAGCAACTACATTAGGAATCTGAGTCACTACTCTCAGGCAGCCCCGAGCATTTGATACGATTATCATCATGATGTTTCTTTTGAACGATAGAGCGTGTCACTGGAAGTTTCTCGAATGAGAAGAATGCTTGGTTTCATCTTTCGTAACTTCCTTCATAGAGAATCCAAAACAATTCTCTATAAAACATGCGTAAGACCTATTGCTGAATACTGCTCTTTCTTATTTTCTAACGTACGCCTGTCTGATATGTTGAAACTTGAAGGAATACAAAGGAAATTTACTCGTAAAGTCCTAAATCATAGCTCACCCATTGACTATCCAACCCGATGTATTGAACTCGGGCTCGATCCATTATGGAAAAGAAGGCTTAAGTCCAATCTGATCCTTTACTTTAAACTCCTGCACAAGCTCACATATTCCTCCTGCAGTTTAGTCCTTATCCATGGCCCTTGTACACATAACCTTCGAGATAAAGTATCTACGGTCAAACTTGAGAAGTATAGATCCAAAACTCGAGAAAACTTCTTCCTCTCTAAGTATGCACTTATATGGAATAGGCTTCCCTCTAAAATACGCATGGCAAGTGGGTTACATGAGTTTGTTGAACTTCTTAATGATGCTCTCAGTTGCACTGACTCTTCTGCGCTCGTGAACTCACTCGCACCCTGCTTTCATATTAATAGCTCTGCATACACTTTAAACACAATGAACTCAGTGCTACGTCTTATTTAGTTATTTTTACACTCCCAAGTAGCACTAATTTTTCTAGTTGAATATAAATCTCTTTAGTTTTTATTTGAAATAGACAGGTTACTCTACTAACTGGGTCGTTCGACACTGTTCAACTGTAAACTGGTTGATTAGAATGCACTCTACTCTCCTGGGCGCAACCTTATCAACACTTACAACTGTGTGAGTTTCACATTGCCTATTATCAATTATACTGTTCTCACTTACACGCTATTGACTTACCTTGGCCCCTTAGTGTTATCTATTGCTCCGCTTTTAACCGCGATACTCTTTATATCTCCTGCTTAGCTAGTTAAGTACATCTTCCCCACTACATTCTAAATGCTTATATCTTGTTTGAAAATTCTTACTATTTCTCCATAACTGTTAACTGTATAGCATTGATGCCTAACAAATAGTTCATAAGTTGTAATAGCCAGACGAGTTTGTGAAAGGAACTTGCAGAAATAGTGTTC